AGTCCTCGATAAGCAAAAGCCGGGTGCCAACACTTACTAAGCCACTTTTATCCAATAGGCTTTCAGCTGCGTCTGCCAATGAGATTATAATAAATCTGGAAAAAATACTCATTTCCCGCCCGGATTTGCAATATCCGACTGTTAACGAAGATTTGGTGAATTATAGCATTGCGATTCAACTTAAAGTGTGCAAAATATTGCAGAAAACAGAATGCCCAGGAATACCTACAAAAAGTTGGAGTCAATGATTATCGACAGTTAATTACAACTTTTCGTTGCAATTCAGACCCTTCTAAGGCTTTTATTGCAAGGAGCCCGATAGTACCGTAGTTTTCTCGGTTAGTTGTAGGGAACAAAGTATTATGCCTTCACTTTAAAATTTTGATTTACTTTCCAAACCTGTGGATTTCGTGGCTTCCGTTCAGGCGTAAGGGGGTGTGGATGATAGTTAAGAATATTAATATATGGTTACACAGGTAGAGAAAGCACAATTTTTTCCGGGGGAAGTGAATTGTGCCAAATTGTTGTCATACCACTTCAGCAAGCATGCAGGTATACTTTTTGTATTTAAGTCCTTTTCTTTAACCGCGAGACCTTAATGAACTGAACTGGGAGAGAAAAAATTAGTGATGCCGGAGCACTTGCTTTTTTGTACTCAGGGTCTATTGACACTCTAAAGTAAAATCAAAACCTCCAAACATTGTGCATATCTTAAAACTTGTTTATGAGGTTGGATGTTTGATCTACCATCAAAATGTCTTTTGGTTGATTTCAGGCGCGTCAGCAGTTGGTGTAAAATTTCCTGATAGAGCAAACTGGTGAAGTAAATGAAAGTGCAACTGCCCACATTTATTGTAGTTTGGAACGTCTTAATTAGGTTGCAACTAAACCAAGTATCAAACGCTTTGTGGTGTTATCCTCGTGTCTTATATTACAACTCAGAAGTAAAACCATGCAAAACATTACTATAATTGATATAAATCTCGATTTCGGACATTTCAAGATAATTAAACAGACGGAGAATTCTAAGTAAATACAGGGTGTCCCAAAAATGTATACAAATTTTACGTAATTGTAAAATCGGTGTTTATCATAATTTTTGGTTAAAAAATTTAAAACAGTCATCTTATTTTTTTACTAAATGTTTAAATAATGACGTTCATTTTGATCATGACACTACTAAAAACGCGAAGTAATAGAAACGCACACACCATGAAACAATTCCATTTGTGGTCGGGTGCAAATATGCTTAATGGCTGCTCTAAATTCAGCCACTAACGAAATGGTCAAAATGCAGTAAAAAAATTAAATGGTACTTGCAAATGTGTTTGTCATTTGAAATAATAAAATTATAATAAACAGCAAGTTTACAATTAATTAAAGTGTCTATACATTTCTTTGGGACACCCTGTATTTTCTTACTACACGTTTTTATCGGTGTTACCATCTTGGAACTTTTCAGGCAAACGTTCCAGACATGCTCCATTTCGAGATAATGTAAAAATGCATATGAAACTGCTTCTTATTTGTTATTTCTCGAAAAGCCCAGTTATTAACATTTCAGGAAGTGAAATTGATTCGCGTTTTTAATGTCGTCGTATTAACTGAAGTAAAATAAGTCAATCACAATGGTTACTGTTCTAAAGTCTTCACTGAGTTTAAATTTACACATTTCTTAGAAATATACCATCTCGATTGGCAGGCAAACGTACAAAGCCTGCTCCACAGCTGACATAAAAACAAAAATTATTACTAGATGATTTGAGCTAGACGTGAATGAATACACATAAAACAAGACACCTAATTTCGCAATACACGTTACCATAAGGAGCCGCGATATCTATTTAGAACTTTAGTCAGTAGCACATTTAAATGACAACTACCACATCAGGTCTACCACAAAATAAGCGTCGTTTAGCTCCAAATTTTACGGAGCTAGGGAGGAACCTTAGGGTCATGATAACTGCACGCTACACGCAAAAGCTGATAATACTTTTGTTGTCCATTAACGTGAAGATTGTTCTCGCTAAATGACGACGATTTATTTTTCGTACGCCTTAGTGTTCCTATTACTGCCGTCCAGTCCCCAAACTACAGCATGACGAGTGCTGCAAGCAAAGTGGGGCAGTTTGCGAAAGACTGGTTATTACTAGCAAAGCAACATTAAGTAGGGTTATAATAATGAGTATCAAGCAGTCTAATCTCGAATGTTTTCATTTACGTCAGGATACCGGTCTTTTAATAAATAACTTTTTGACTGCTTACAGAAAGTAGATTCGGAAATAATTGGCTACTAAATGGTATGCGTTTTCATCATGGATTTTGTTTAAGGAAAATAAAATTTTTGTCCACGGTCTGATGAAGAGGTCGCAAATGTCTCATAAAATTTTGCAATAGATATAGATCATCCTGTATACATGATGAACATCATTAATAAAGTGACGGATACAGCGTATTATGAATAAACACCTCATAATCGTAAAATTCTCATAATTAGACAGTCTTGCCGCGTGCTGCACCTTTTTGGGTATAAATGTTAAAGAAGACGTCATTTCCTACCAGACGAGTGCAAGAAAGTAGATTTTCATGCACATTATTCAAGTAATCATTTTTACAGGAGATGCTTTTTGTAAGGAGTCAAGAAGAATCTTGTCAGAGAGCCGATATCCTGAAGTGACTGAAAAGGCTTCATATTAAACTGCACGATTATCAGTATTGCAAGCCTACGTAGTGTTGTTTTTCGAGTGATTACCAGCCCTTCACAAATTGCGGCATTTTGCTTGCGCACTCGCTATAGTGTACGTTCCCAGGTCTCCTTTTCGCTTGCCTGTACATATGTTTTATGATGCCATATGATCTGGCTTTGCTTTTTAAGCCAAGCAGTGCTTTTCAGAATCTCCCTATGCTCATCTGTAGGATAAGCTGTGATTATCATTCCCCCACAGGGGCCATTTAGATAAAGTTATGTGTCAATTGTGTCCTTTTTTAAATTTAGCCTACTTAAAACAGTTGAATAAAACAAAGAGCGCATCAAAGTTTAATAAACCGCCGATATATCTAATAAGAAACTTTCCTTGACAATAGGTAGTTTTTAGAAGAAATATTTATCTGATAATTAGTTTAAGTGATGGCCCAAAACCTCAGGCCACTAAAATTATTGTTCTACCAATCGTATTTTCTCTTATGGCAAAAGAAGCTTATGAAGACCCACTCATATACCCCTAGTCCCAAAATTTTGTCCTGCAAAAACGGTGGTAATAGAATTTTTGGGGTGGTGAAATAGGATAAGCAGAGAAAGAAATTTTTAGAAGTAAGTATAAAGTGAAAAAAAATGTAGTTGAAGTTGCTTCCCGCGGCCGCTGGTAGTAAGTTATTCCGCATGTAAATCGAAGGTGTGCACGGCGCTTCGCGCCGCAGACTTTACTAATCTAACTCCAGAGCGGTAAGTTGGACCTCAGGTAAGTTTAAGTAGACGACCTACCTGCCATTCCAATTTTTCGGGAAATTCAAGAAACCTGCAATTTGATAATCGTGTTTTACCGCAATAAGTTAAACGATAATACACATTAGGAAAATGTACAGATATAAATCAACAAAACCTCTAAATACAGTAAAATAAAAATGCATTTAGCACTTATTAAAGTATATTCCACTGCGTGTCCTAAATCCCCACCTATAAAACCATATGACCACTGTTTTCGTAGGAAAACATGCAGGGAGCAGGGATTAATGTGTAAACCTACGTAAGGTGCTGTTGCCTCTCTTATGAATGAGGCCAGTTTTGAACTAAATTGCCACCCCAATATGTACGCAACCGGGAGGAACGTCCATATTTTTGGCAACAATGTAGCCTCGAAAGCGAAAATTTACGAGTAAGGTGAAGAATATTGGGTATTTGAACATAGTTATTGAGGAAATAAGTAAGATGCACACTAAACACTGGTGTAACAGGAGCTGGAAGAAGTC